TCCATCTATTATGGTGCAGCCAATTGGGCCAGTGGTGAGAAATTTTGTTTTCTTGATGTTGAGCTTCAATTCATATTGAAGACTGTAGTCCTTAACCTTCTGCAGCAAAAGCATAATGTCCATCCCTAACCTTAACCCTAACCCTAACCCTGCCCCCGAGTGTGTGATTAATCAGTGCCAACTAGTACCATCTGGGCTTCAGTCATTAGTGTTCAATGCCTCAGACACATTTTTAAATTCAAGTGGTTTTTAAAAACAGAGAAGGAAAGAATAGGGGAAGGGAAAATCAGTAAGTAGATAACAGACACATATCCAGATGGATGAAGTGAAAGACAAGGTATAATAAGGGATGTTCAGCACAATATCACTAAGTAAGGGGAAGGCATGGGGAGGTGTACAAGAAAGAAAGTATAAAAGGAAAAGCAAAAACTATTAATACACAATCCTGAATCATTATCAGCCATAGTAAACATTAATTTACAAGAGCATGTACATACTGATCATCAAAACTAACAGATATGAGCAGGTAGAAGGAACTACCCTTATGAGAACACATAGGTTTAACAGATTAGATTTCTACACTCATATTAGACTATACAGAACAAATCATTCAAGAAGCTGGACTTTAGGAAGAATAGTGTGGCTTCAGGATTGGAAAATGACTCATAAGCAAACTATGCTATGTAGATTATACAATATTCCTTGTTGAGAGTGAGGAGGACTTGAAACACTTCCATCAGTGAATCAAAGACTAATAAGGATTGCATCTCAACATCAAGGGAAAAGAAAACACAACTCACTCCCAGGCCAATAAGCAACATTTTGATATTTGGAGAAGAGATAGACATTGTCAGTGATTTCATCTTGCTTGGATCGATAATCAACACCTTTGACATTGGCAACCAGGAAAGAAAAAAGACATATTATGTAGGAAAAGTCTGCTGTCAAGAATCTCTGCAAAGTGCTGAAGAGTAATGCTGTCAATTTAATGACTAAGGTGTACCTGCTACAAACCATAATCCTTTCAATTACTTGCTATGCATCTAAAAGTTAGGAAGTGACTAAGGATAACAGGTAAAGAATCGATGCTGTTGAGCTGTGGTGCTGGAGAAGAGCATTGACTGTCCCAAGAACTGCAACAGGACAAACAAATATGTCTTGGAAAAGGTGCAGCCAGGGTGCTTGGTGCTTTCAGAGGCAAGAATAGTGAAACTTCATCTCACAAACTTTGGGCATGTTGTTACAAGGAGCCAGTCCTTGGAAAAGACATCATGCTTAGAAGAGTGGAGGGTCAGAAAAGGAGGGGAAGATCTTTAAATAGATGGATTGACACAGTCATGGTAATGGCAGACTTGAGTTTGCCAGAGATGATGAGGATGGCACAGAATAGAACAGAGTTCAGATCACTGTTCATAGGGTTGCTATGAGTAGTAGTGGACTAAATGGCGTTTAAGAGCAACAATACATATATCGGTATTTATTGCAAAGCTTCCTACCACGCTTGACCTTTCTATTACTGATAGGGTGAGCCAAGGAAAGATTCCCTCATTAGAATGAATCACGTAAGATAGAAAGAAAACCATTTTCCCAAGATAAATCTCAGAAGCCAGGCAAGGATAGGATAGAAGAGTTGATAGAAATGAGAATCACAGGGAGAAGGTGGGAAGTGGACAGTTACATTGTGGGTGTTGTAATCAATGACATAAAACAGAATCTATATGCATAAAAAATTATCCGGGAGGCGGGGCTCTGTGAGAAGAAACATGGCATCAGAATTGGAGGAGAACTAATCCACAACCTGTGTAATGCAGATGACACAGCCGTGCTCGCTGAAACTGAGGAAGAGCTGAAGCACTTGCTACAGAAGGTCAAGGACTATAGTCTTTAATATGGATTGAAGCTCAACATCAAGAAAACAAAGATTCTCACTACTGGGCCAATTGGCAGCATCATTATGGATGGTGGAAGAGATTGAGGTTTTTAACAATTACAGCTTGCTCAGCTCCACAATTAACACTCTAGACATCAGCAGTCAGAACATCAAAAGATGGAATGCACCATGAAAATTTGCTGTCAGGGACCTCTCTAGAGTGCTGAATAGCAACAATGTCAGTCTAGAGAGTAAGGTGCACCTAATTCAGGCCATGGTCTCTTCAATTACTTGCTATGTGTCAGAGAGATGGATAATGACTAAGGATGACAAGACTAGATGCCTTCAATTGTGGTGCTGGAGAAGAGTCTTGAATATATCATGGCCTGCCAAGAAAACAAATAGGTCTGTCTTGGAGAACAATAAACCTTGGAAGCTAGGATTTTAAAGCTTCATCTCACATATACTTTGGGCATGTGGTCAGGAGAGACCAGTTCTTGGAGAAGGACATCATGCTTGAAAGGGTGGAGAGATAGTGCAGGAGAGGAAGACCTCGGATGAGATGGATTGATACAGTAATTAAGGCAATGGGGTTTGCTGTGCCAGAATGAGTGAGACTGACTGGTTCAGGACAGGCAGGGTTCAGAGCTGCTGTACGTAGGGCCCTTATGGGTCACAGGTGACTCGATAGTACATAACAACAAACACATTAACTCTTGAATGGAAAGACAGCTCTATAAACTTTTACTCAAATCACAATAATAAATCAGAAAAAATATATAAAATTATACCTGAACTCTAAATTAGAAGTTTCCTACACCACAGTAAGTAAAGAATGAGAACTATAGTTGTACCCTGGACAAAATGTATCAAATATATGTACATGTGTTGTGTCTACATATTTGTCTCATTTCTGTATGTTTTTGTCACAGGACAAGAGAAACAGGCTTCCTGGTTGAACTGTCATCCCTCTTACTTACCAAAAGAAAGAAAGTTCTAGGGGAGCTCTGGTAACATAGTTGCTCTGGAAACTCAGAAAATGCCTCTCTGGAAATTCAAGCCCAGGAGTGACTCTTTGGGAGAAGATGTATAATCTCTTTCCTAGCAATTTAGAGCCTTGAAGACCCACTGCAGGGGTCAGGTAGGAGGTGGTTTCAACTCAACAGCCATAAGTTTTTTTGAGCTTCGTTTTTTTCTTGCTAAAGGTTTCCTCCCTTTGCTGGAGGGTGAAGTTAATCTACAGTCTAACTTTCTTAGCTTCTCACACTCACTGCAGACCAGTGAGGCTCTTAAATGTGAGAGGTCTTTCTATTTTCTCCTGGACACAGAGACGTGGTGAGTAGTAACTAGACCACTAGTAATAACCGTTGTTGTTGCTGTGTTCTCTTGAGTTGCAATCAGCCAGTAATTTATCCTCCAGTGGGTTTTCAGAGGCCGTTAATTGCACAGGAGCCAACTGTCCATTTTTCTTCAGCAGAGCTGCTGGTGAATTCAAACCACAAGCCTTTAACTTGACAGCACCATTTCTTATCATTAAGGCATCAGATGTTCCTAGTAATAATTGATGCTTTTGTTGTGTACTGTTGAGTTGGAACCACCGTAGTTGACCCTCCAGCAGGTTTTCAGAGGCAGTTATACATTGGAGGAAAAGTTCTAATTTTTGTTTACTTCAGGAGTTCTACCTTTCAAAACTTTTCTCTCTTTCCCAAACTAGGTCATTCTCAGACAAACAAAAGCCCAAGAGTTTACCGTACAAGTAATCCAAAGTCCTATTCAATTACTCTTTAAAATTGTCAATTGTAGAAATTGAGAAAAAAATTTAATTAGAAACAATTTTTCCCTCTTTATGTGAAAGGCCCTCCAAAAAGAACCAAGATCAATATGCTCCATATCTTTATTGTAAGCAAAGGTAAAATTTGAAGGGCTGGTAAGGTTTTGTTTATTTTATCCACATAAAAAAAAATTGTACAAAAGTCATTGACTCCTAGAGTAAACCTTCAGTTTCCAACTGAATGACTCCAGCCAGGAAAATCAAGATCCTCTTTCAGCTGCTTTCATATTCAATCCCTTTTACCTTTCAGTGTATCTGAGTGTAAAAGAAAAAAAATTAATCTTTTTTACAAAAGTGTATTTTCCTATTTTGTATTTACCTTAAGTGATATTTATGAACAGTAAAGTCTGAATACACGTTAGCTTCAGGAGACTGAATCAAGCTACCTAGAACTGGTTGTGGCAACCGTTGGCAAGTTTGTCATATGCATTGTGTAAAGATGCCTAGTGTTCATTTCACAGCTACCTCATACTACCTTGCATTTACAAGACAATTTGATGAACTTATTTCTATTCAACAGTGCTCCTGGAATTGCTATTGCAATTATCTGCTGAGTCTCAGTATGACTGTCCCTTGCAAAGCAGGCCCTTGTCTTCTGGGAAGGCTGTGAAACGAACACATGACAGGCATCTATGTCAAGACAGTGAAAGCTCGCAGATCTTCCCTGTACCCAACCTGGGACCTTGCGTGGGTGCAGTGATAACAGAGACAGATTGCCACCACGGGAAGGTACTCAAGTCTCCCAGGATCAAGTAGCTCTTTTCTTCCTCCTAAGAGTGAATGGTACATAGATCTCTTCTTTATCTCTTGGCAGAATGAAACCCAGGTTTACTGGTTCTATCACCTCCAGCACCACAGGCAGCAATAGGTTTTAATGAGCCAGGAAGTGAGGCAAGATAAGCAATTATTATCTTTGAAATATATTCTGTTGCAGAGGCAGCAGCAAGATTATAGTGGTCTCACGTAACATGCTAGACTTAAAGGCCTCTCTCATCCTAGAGGAAAACACTTAAAAATAATGCCATGTTGCAATTTTATTCCATAATAAATAATTGTGGAGAAACACTTCGGTTCTTATGTCCCATTATGAGTTTTTTGGTGCTAGTAGTATTCCTTGCACAGCCATATAGACATTAGCAGCTGGGAAGGCCTGTCTTTTAGCCTCATGACAGAGGTGGAAGGCAGACGCCACTCTCTTCCACATTTTACAGAATGACAGTGAGGTTCAGGATTGGAATTCAGCTCAGGTTTGGAAAAGCAGTGCTTCATACTGTTCTTCCACACCACCTCACTACACCTTCACACTGGAGAGTTCACCAAGGAGTGTCCTGTTTTCTCCGAGATCCAGTCCACATACTCAGCTACTTTGGTGTAGACACCTGGATGGTCCTTACGGGCACAACCTTCACCCCAACTGGTGATACCCACCAAATGCCAGATTCCTTGGTGTTTACAGACGAGGGGACCACCTGAATCTCCCTGTGTCACAGTGGGTGGAAAAAGAAGATAATGAGAAATATCACAGATGTGAGTCTATTAATTATTGAAAAATTTCCTATACAATTCTATTGTCTCTCTTTTTCTCTCCTCTCTTTCACACAAACACGGACACATATACTATTTCTTAAAGTTCTTCAGATATCTACTGAACCTTATTAACTATTATATTTGGTGGAAATAATCTAATTGCAGGATGTAAGGATTCCTTTTATGTTTATTCCCTCTTCTGAGATAAATTGAAGAAAGACAATATGACATCTCATTCAGGTTCCAGGGAAATCAAATGTTATTCTATCTTAGCGTAAGTAGAGTCTGTTGGATCATTTTCCTTAATGTCTCAAATACCCTTGCAGAGATTATGGTATTTACAAATTAAAGTCAGGAAAGGTGATTTATGAAATTAGCAGTTCATTTTGGTTCTGAATCTGCCTACTGCTGCAATGAAAAATTATTACTAGAGATCATATTTCAAAAAGAATACTCTTAAGTAGCCAACTGTGGGCTGTTTCAGGATGTAACATATTACCTTGCAGGCATCTCTTCCCCCTTCCTTATATCCAGCACAGATCATTTGCTTGGTTATGTCATAGTCTCTGTATCTTGCCTGGCATTCTTGATTTGTTACTAAAGGAATATTTGCCTTTTGCAGAATGCTTTGGATTTCACCTATGAAATAAAACAACACAGAACTTCAGAGAGAGGACATAAGGAAGCAAAAATGAAGTTCTAAAGCAAATCATAAGCTGTTCATTAAAGTTCATTACGAAAATCATCATAAACTGTTCATTATCTCTGAGTTAAAAACAAACAACATACCAGACAGTAAGGATTGAAAGGACAGAGTTATATACACACTCAACACAATCACACAAATAGTGAGGGGGAGCTGTGCACTGGTCCCTGTACGCAGGATGAGACCAGTCCAGCACCCTGGGCTGAGCATGGCTTTTGCTTTCATATTACCTTATTCGGGTTCACTATATGCTTTAGGACCTGGATTTTAAACGCCACACAATACCTTTCTCCTTAGTGTAGCCCCAACCAGTGATCCAACAGTTGGTATAAATTGTGTTTGTATCATCTTTGGAAGGCAGACATATTGGTTTTTGAAATTCTGAAAAGTAATATTAGAGGCCAATTAGACGAAGTAGTGAGCATAGAGTTAAAAATACTTTATTTACTTATCCCATTCTCTTCTTCTATACAGTAGCATCAAGTATAACCCTTCCCTTTCCAAATTCAAACGTCAGTGATATGAGAGAATTTGTATCAATAGAGCCCACTAGCACTGGACATTTTTTTAGTTAGTTTTTTTCTGGATAGACTAAAGAATCCAGAACATAAATCTATTGTCAATGTAATTTTCAGGTGTTTGTTTCTTAAGTCTTAGTCAGGATATAATATTTTTAATAATAATCTTAATATACACTACGCCAAACACGATTTAAAGAGTACTTCAATTTTATTAAGTTTAATTTCTGTGTGTGTGTGTGTGTGTTATGCTCACCCATGTTTATTGCTGCATTATTCACAATAGCAAAGAGATGAACACAACCCAAATGCCCATCAACAAATGAATGGACAGAAAAACTATCATATATTCACACAATGGAATATTACACAGTACTGAAAACAATGAACCTGTAATATATTACACAACATGGGAGAGCCTGGAGAACATTAGGTTGAATGAAATATCTCAATCACAAAAGGTCACATACTGCATAACACCACTGTCATAAAATAGGACAGGTGAGGGGTTCAAGGAGAGAATGGGAAAAGAATGGATAGACAATGAACACTGCATTGGAACAGATGAGGGAAAGAACTGTTTGAAAGGAATACATGATTAGGCATTGTATGTATGACAACAATCTGAAACAAGAGGTGCAATGCAAAGTGGACTGGGGGAGGGCGAAGTGAGAGAGGAACATATTCAGCAATGAGTTAATTTTTTAAAAAAACCTGTGATGCATTCAGAAAATCTGCTGTCAAGGACTTCTACAAGTGTTAAAGGACAACAATGTCAGTTTAATGACTAAGGTGCATATGATCCAAGTCAAGGTCTTTTCAGCTACTTGCTATGTATCTGAGAGCTAGTTGAACAATGACTAAGGAGACAGAAGCAGCAGTAATGCCTTTGAGTTGTGGTGTTGGAGGAGAGGACAGACTATCTCATGGACAGCCAAGAGAACAATTACGTCTGTCCTGGAGAAAGTGAATCCAGGGTGCCTAGTGCAGGTATGGATGGTGAAACTGTCTCACACTCTTTGGGCATGTCAGGAGAGACCAGTCCTTGGAGAAGGACTTTATACTTGGAAAAGTGAAGGGTTAGAGTGAGAAAGATCCTCAAGGAGATGGATGGACATTGTTACAGTGACTGGGCTCAAGTGTATCAGAGGTGGTGAGGATGGCACAGCATAGGGCAGAGTTCAGAGCCATTGTTCATAGAGTTGCTATGAGGCAACTTGAAAGCACATTTCAATAATCAGCCTTCACATGAAGTAAAGCAGAGGCCCACAGGTGTTTGCATATAAATGAGAGTTACTGGCAGAAAAGTGAAGATTCAACTGAACTCATTGCCACTGAGTTTGTAGACTCTCCAGTGAGTTTTCAGAAGCTAAAAATCACATGAGAGGAAACTGCCCAATTTTCTCCAGGTGAGCCGCTTATAGATTTGAACCACCAGAGAGCTTCCACAAGATTGACTGTGAGGGGAAAGTTTAAATGATCAGACCCATGTAACAGCAAGCTTGGCTGCAATCTTTACAGAAGCAGATCTCCATTTCTTCTCCTACCAAGTGGCCGGGGGAACTGTGGTGGTCAAGTGGCAAGAACTTGCACTAAATCCTAAAGGCACACAGTTTGAATCCACCAGCTGCTCCATAGAAGGATGGGCAATCTCCTCCTGTGCGATTTAATGCCTCTGAAAATCTAGAGGGTCAGCCATGAGTGGGTTACAACTTGAAAGCAAACCACTACATCAACAGAATGGCTGTGGTGGTTAAAACAACATTCTGGACAGCAGTCAAACACTTTTTGTACTACCATGGCTCCTTGTTATTATCTTGGAAAGGTATTTTTGCCATAAAAATGCAGAAGGTAGAATTAAAAAGCTAACCCTATGAGCCAGTTATTATTTAAAAGTCTAAACTTAATTTCAATCAAATTAACTTCCTAAGCCATTATAAGTAGACTGTTCAGTTGCTGTTATCCTCATTTTAAAAATGAGGAAATGAGATTTCCCATGCAACCACGCTGCCATTGTCTACCCAGAAATTCTTTCTGCACTATTTAGTGTTTTATATGCTTAAGACTAAAGTGTAATTGGGGTTGAAGGAAGGGCAATCTCCTTCTGTGCGGTTAACGCCCTCTGAAAAGCTGCTGTGTGTCAGCTACAGGTTGGCTCCAATTCTACAGAACACAACACCAACAAAGTGTAAATGTATTTGGTTCCAATTCCCCACGTCCATTTCTAATGTTCCTAAAACCAAAGTAAAAGTAATTCTGCTCCATTTGTCAAAGGAAACCCAACACTTAGCAGATGGTGAAGGCTGTGCATATTATTGCAATAGTATATTCACAGTTGTATTCCTATTGGAAGGAACAACAAAAATGTCTAACTCTTTAAATAGAAGGTGTTTAGTGTCAGGTCACAGGCTATTAACTTCCGTGCTTGTGCTCACATATCTCCCAACATTACCAACTAGAAAATAGACTCTCCAGATTTTTCTCTCTCATTCAAATCAATAGACAAATGTGAATGAAGGCATTTCAGCTGTAAATAGTCTACATACCAGTAAAATTCAAAGGAGTCTCAAGTTTCAATAAAGCAATATCATGGCCAGCTTCTGAGATCTTGTATTGTGGGTGAATAATAATTTCTTTTATTTGTGAGAAAGGAGTCTCTCTTGTTATTTCTGATATATTTAAAATGCCACTATAACTGCGCCAAATATCTGGTGCCGAAAGCCTAAGAGGGGAAAAAAAAGAAGTACATATTTGAAACCAGAGAGAAGACTTTTAATCTCTTTGTCTCTTTATTTTCTCTTTTAGAAAGTTAGGAACAACACGCTATATGTTATATTTTTTTCCCTGCATACTTTCCCTCCAGATAAAGCATCATACGACTACTAAGCAGCACTGAATCTCTGATAATTCAGTTTAAAATTTTTAGAATGTGCTTTTATGTAATTATTTCATGTTTATTAACAAAATATGCAAAAATGTTGCCATCTCTTTCTGAGAGAAACTGTGGTTGGTAGAAACTCTAGCAGTGCATCATAGAACTCTTCATCTCAAGTTAGGAGAACTTCAGCATTATGCAACACATATTCATCTACATTAGGAAAAGTAGGGGAATTTACCTTAACTCTAATATATGAATATATACAAAGCAAGGCCAATTCTATCACTTAGAGTCAAATCTTATTTTATCAGCATCAAATGGTGGCAAAAGATGTGCATCTACAAAACTCTAAAGGAAATACGGAATATTAGGTGTCCCCATTCAATAAAATCATAGTATTTTTCAGGTTAGATAATTTCCTATACTATCACAGGAACTTGGAACCTGAAAAGAAGGAAAACATTTAGTCACAAACCCAGCACTTCCGTGACTATGGGAACTGGGAACTTACTCTTTCCCATTTCAGAGCCTTTTATTTCAGACCCACCGCCTTCCCTCGAGCACAGTGCTACCTGCAGCTCAGGCCCCCATGTGCCTTGCCCTTGTTGGGCAGGAAAAACAAATAGATCAACTTGTATTTTGATTTGTAAATACTCTGATTCATGTTTTTTGCTTGTTTGTTTTTGAGCAGAATCAAAGGTCTTATTTTGAGGCTACTGGCCTACTGGAAGGGAGTTGCACTAAGAACCCAAAGTCAATACATCGCTCACAGTTAGAATCCACTGTGGGAAAGAGGTGGGCAATCTCCTCTTGTGCCTTTTACAGGCTTTGAAAATTCCCTGGAGGGTCAGCTAAGTCGGTTCCAACCCCATGACAAAAAGGGCATGCTTATGGAAAGAGCTCAGGTGACCTGGTCCACAGAATGCTGTACTGGTGGCAGAGACCACGAGCAGCTCTGAGGGGAAAGATGAACAGTTTCCCCCCATTGAGATTTACTGTAAACAGTCTTGGAGATCTGAAAAAAAAGTCACCAAGGGTTGAACTCAACCAAGGTGAATGAATGAGTATACTTCATCTTTCTCCCCTATTTTTACATTTTTATTGCATTACAACAACAAAGCTTATGCTTTAGGTTCAATACTGAACATTTCAATATATCAGTCGGTTTTACAATAATCCTAAGAATTATGTGTTTCTATTACTTGGAGTTTGTATCTAAGAAAACAAGATCAAGGGTCTTGCGCTCTCTCTCTCTCCCCCCCCCCCTTTCTTTCTGCCAATGAGTTGGAACTGATTCACAACTGACCACCTGGTGAGGATTTTAGCACAGGAAATGTGCCCATCTTTTACCAAGAAGCTGCCGGTGAATTTGAACTGCCACAGAGGCACTACTTTTTTGTTGTTGTTTATTTGTTTATTTTGTTTTGTTTTAATTTTGTGTGTGTGTGCCGTCAAATTGGATCAGACTGGTACAGGAGGAGATTTCCCCTCCTTCTCCAGCAGAGTATCTGTTGTATTCAAACTATATACCTCTGTACCTCCGGGATTACAGTACAGCTTTTTGCCACTAGGCCACTAGAGTTCCCTAAGGTGCTGTTTTTGAGTCAATAGCACAACAAACTATGTCACAAGGGCTTTCTTTATATATTCTGGGAACTCAAAATATCCATGTTACTTGCTTGATTCTGGTATTCACTTTATTATGATAGTCTAGAGTCAAACTCATAATATCTCTGAGATGTGCTTGTGTCTCCTTTTACTTTATTATTATTGCATCATACATTTGTTAGTTAGAAACGATAAATCAAGCTTTTATTGGCTTGAAAACATGTCTTTCATGGCTTTAGAGAACACATTTTGGCAGTGGCTGGGGGTACATACTAGCTTCAGTGTTGTTGAGCTTTTCTGAAAATTCGAAATAATATCTAGCATGGAGTTCAGACCTATTCACAGGCCACAGTCTGTCCTGATAGATCAGTTTGTCTGGGTTCACACTCTATTCACTAAGTGTCATCTCTGTTTTAAATACCTATTTCTGGGGGGGGGGGGAACCCTTTCAACTAATAAACACATATCACGATCAGAAATTGATTGTAGATATTTCAGATAAAAAAATCAAGGGACTCTGGCCAAGATTCACCCAGAACTTACCCATCAAAGCAATGGGCAGCAGTCAGCACCCACTGGTGTCCAATGATAGACCCTCCACACATATGGCTCTGTCCTGCTAGGGTCACCTGCAGGCTGACCTGCCAGGGCCACTCTCCATGAGAAGAGTTGGTCCCTCCAACAATACGTGAGCTAGATTTTGTGGTGCAGACTAAAAAGAGAAAGTCAGAGATAATGGTTAGCCTTAGATATGAATCAAAGTATTGTTCAGTCAAGAAAAAGGATACACAGCATCTCATAATATAAGATTACACACACACATGTCCCATGTTGCAGTTTTATGAAGATGTGATGTTCCCTCACCAGAGCTCTCTCCAGGTTCACACAGTCTTAAAGAATAACCAGAACTCTTTTGTGTTCCATCCGTAATGGAAGTTGGGGAGCCGTCCAAAGATAATTTCAAAGAGCATTTACACCTAGAAAAAATAAACGGGATAGATGTCAAAAGTACGTGAGTTTGTCCAGACGACTGTCTTTTAAAATTAACTTCTCACTTACTTGTCTCCCTGACAGTCCTCTGGACGTGCAGAGTAAGTGAAAAACTGACAGCGGATCATCTTTGTACATGTCTCTTGGCAAACACTGTCTGACTTAACAAAGGTCACGTTCAACTCTTCACCTCCAAAATCAACTCCAGAGAAAATTTTAGAATGACAGGGTTCTGACGCAGAAAATATACAATGAAGAAGGTAATAAATACATTTGTGTAAGTCTCTGGTATGAGGATTGTTTCGTAACTATTACTTAGTAGAAAATCATAAAACGTTCATAACTATTGTTTTGTAACTATTATCTAGTAGAAGATCATAAAACATTTTTATGTTTAGCGTAATTTAATCACTTTACCAGGGTAAGTTTTTTTGCAAGTTAAAAGGCTGTATCCTGACATGGCATTTTCCTGTGGAAGAGAGGAAGTTGGTGTTCCACTTTTGGAAGTCTTAAGGAAACAGACATTCCTATTAAGATGGGAGAGAAAGAGAAAGACATCAACATTAAAATAATTAATCAAAGAAAAGCTTTTCTGCAAATTTTATTCTTCTGAGAAACTCTCCTCACAGTATACCAGTATAGAGATTAAATAAAGGCAAGACAAAATCTCCCATCAATGAAAACTCATAGGCACAGATAGCTCAAAAAGCTAATGGCAGAGTTCTACTTTCTAATTGAAAAAAGAAAAGAGAACTAAAGAAAATAAAGAAAAAACCCCAAAACAACAATTTCTTGGAACTTATGCTATTACATGAAAAAAATTATTGTTCAAAGGGTAAACAAAGCCCAACCAGAGCCGTGATAGATAGAGCTTTGACTTCTGAGTCAGAAAAGAACTGGATCCAATAAGCTTCATGGATAGGTTACCAATGAGAGGTTTATTCATCAAGGTAGTATAATATATAAAAACTAGTAACAGAGACATCCATTCCATTGCTCCACCAGTGAATGATTTTTCATTAAATCAATGGAATGCTTGTTTTGAGTAACTGCTGGTAGATAGGAAAGTAGATTTTTCTCTTAAATAATATGCACCCAGCAGAAAAGTAGAGTAGTAAGCTGCAGATTCAAGGGTTTAGAGGGAAATGGGCAAACTTTAAAAAACTCAAAGTATAAAATAGCAAATGGTGCACATTCATACTCACCTCTGAGACTCTATTTCCCGTGCACTTGTATAGAATGTAAAGAAGAGGCATTTGGGATGGTAAGTGCAGATGGTGCGACACACAAAAGCATCTGGAGTGAAAACTCGGACAACATCCTCATCTGAAAAAGCATAATGTTGGAAAATGTCCATGTGGCAACCTGTGAAATCACAAAGAAAAAGCAGTTCTGTAAGGTACATGTCACGTGGTTGGTTTGCTCTTGTCATCCTAAATAAACTGTTACTGTTTGCCACTTAAAACTGCAAGTACCCTAAATGGGGGAAAAGTCTTCTAAAATATCTCCAAATTTGTGGGAAATATGTGGGTCAGCTTATATTAGAATGTGTTCATAATTTATTTAAATTACTCTGCCTTTAAGAAGATGGGATTTTGAGCTACGTTATTTTGAATATAAGGGAAAAGATAATAAGGATATCTTTAACAGTATCAGATAACTAACAAAAATATAACGTACATTTTGGAGACTGGAACAGAAAATTAATTTTCATTATAAATTGTTGTTATGTACCATCTAGTCAGAACCAACCCATAGCTGACCCTCTGGTGGGTATTTTTGTTTGTTTGTTTGTTTTAAATTTATTATTAATTTCAATGAAAATTTACAGAGACTTTGGATTTCCATTCATTCATTGTTTCGCTTTTCTTCCCCCCCAGCCCTCCCCCGTAGTACACTACCCTCTTGGAAAAGTAAAAGAAAAAATCTTTCATTGTTTTACAATGCCTCCCCCGCAGGTCCACTCCACTATACAGCCTTCGCTCTGGACTCCTTTCATGACAAAAATACCTAATAACATATCCGTCTTAAACAGTTTTTCCCTCATCTGTTTCAGTGCAGTATACATTATTGAACCCATCTTTGTCAGTCTCCCCCCAACCTCAGGGTCAGTCCTGTTTTACAACAGTGACACCATGCAGTATTTGTCCTTTTGTGACTGAGATATTTCACTCAGCATAATGTCCTCCAGGGTAACCCATTTTGAATAACATTACATGAGTTTCTTTTCATTGCACCGTAGTATTCCATTGTGTGAATATACTACAGCTTCTCTATCCATTCGTTTGTTGATGGGCACTTGGGTTGTTTCCAACTCCTTGCTCTAGTGAACAAAGTCTTGATAAACATGGGTGTACACTTCTCATGGGTTTTCAGAGGCAGTTAATTTCACAGAAGGTGATTGCCCATCCTTCTCCCACAGAGGAGCTGGTGGATTTGAACTGCATGCCTTCAGGATTGCATCACAGCTTCTTGCCACTAGGACACCAGAGCTTCCTTTCATTATACATATATAATATTATTCCTTAATTACCTTTTAATTTATGTGAATACTAGTTTGTAAATTTACTCAGTTTAAAAATATATATATTCAATTAAAATTACAGATGTTTAAAAAATAGTGGTAACAATTATAGGAGGGACAGACCCAAATATATCTTAAATGAACACAGATCAATCAGTCAAGTAAGAGGACCTTCATATTGACCAAGGAAATTAGATATCAAGTACTTAAGTGAAAAATGTCATTGAATCTTAAAGCAGCATCCTGTATGCCAACCTATAACTGCTAAACTACATCATCTCAAAAACAACTTTTAGAATACTTTTGCTTGCATATTCTTTGTCATTATAGTGCCCTATATGTTTCTGGGTCTTTCTGCATAATATAAAGGCTCCACCCCTTATTTTCCTCAAAGTAGCATCTATCTAGAAGTAAGTTGTTGAACTGCATAGATTTATCCTTTTTTGCAATACTTTTTGTTGTTGTTTGCAGTTGAGTCGAACATGAATTTCTATAACTATTGTCCTTTATGCAAGTTCGTAGAGTTCCCAGAGGCATGTGGTTTAGGAAGTGGATGCCACTCCTGTTTCTAAACCTGAGTCAATCTAGGAGCTCCACCAAACACTGCCCACCTGCCTTTGGTAACAATGGGCAGTCATATGGTGCTTGGCACACCTATGGTATAGTTGTTCCATTATGGCATTTGAGACCCCAGTGGAACCCCTTATAAAAATCCTGGATGGTATTTAAATTCTCAAAGTGCTACTTTTACAACTTATGTTTATATTGTACTTTGTACAATATGTTCAAGAAAATATATAAAATAATATAATTGTATTTTCCTGATCATTTTCTGTATTTGAGAAGTAAGGGTTTCTCTTAAGACAGAAAAATCAGTTTGGGCTCTGAAATAGCATGTATAATATATAAGACTATTACATAAATGGTTTTCTGTGAAACATTCTTCTAGGTGTGCATTGCTGTCCAGAGGTAATTCATGGTTGCTATGACACTGAACCCTGTGACACTGATGTGCCAAATGTGATAATAGTTACCCATGGTGGACAGTGTTTGCTGGAGCTTCCTGACTAAAATAATCTTGGAAGCAGGAGTGGCATTCATTTTTTAAATGGCTTGCCTCCAGAAACTCTATGAACAGTGCTCAGGCCTTTCGTTTGTAGGGTCACTATGAGTCATCTATGGCTAGACAGCACCTAACAACAACAAAAACCTGCAGACTCTTTCACAGGTTAAACGTTTTTATTTTATTTTCTATGATTTCTAGACATGTTGCTATGTTGAATGCCATCCTCTGAAACATCCTATGGTTTTTCTCATTGCTATACTCAGGATGAGATGGATTGACAGAGTAACTAAGGCAATGAGAGTAGGTGTGAAAGAGAGAGGGAGATTGTCTCAGGATAGAGCAGGGTTCAAGGTTACTGTGTACAGGGTTGCTATGAGTCATTGCTGACTCATGATGGGACATAACAACAACAATATACACAAGAGATCTGGCCAGTGCAGAGAGTGCTTCTTCTTTTCTGATGACACTGTCTTTTATTTCTTTATCTTTACATTGTCTTTTATAAAGGTATAAAGACAGTTGTGGTGCTTTGTTTCTCCACCCTTTTGAGCAAATAAACACTAGCTCCAAGTTAATTCTGACTCATAGGACCCCTTTAGGACACAATGGAATCTAATAGGGTTTTACAGGGGAGTAAATTTTTGCAAAAGCAAACTGCCTCATCATTTTCTCATGAAGCACTTCGTGAATTTGAACCACCTATTGCTTGGAGAAGAATGGGAATCCCAGAACACTTGATCGTTCTAATGTGAAACTTATACTTGGACCAGGAGGCAGTCGTCAGAACAGAGCAAGGGAACACTGCAT